TTTGACATCTTGTTTGAGAAGTAACATCTTTTTCCACAAATAAAGCTTATATTTCCCTTTTTCATAGCCCGCAAACAAGAGTCATACCAAGGACCAAAACAGAGTCTGACTCTTAAGGGGGGAAAGGCACCCTAGTGAATCGTTGCGGTTTGCATTTGTTGTTGTCCTAATTATCGAAGTACTGGATGACCTTGCTTCTATCAAAATCTCTATTGCATCGATTCTTACAGAAAAAAATAAAGAAATAAATAGTATTTTGAATTAAAATTAAAATTATTTCCATATTTTCATCATCATGCAACTGCATCGAGATAAAATGAGAAAGGAAAACACGTTTCTTAAAGAGAGAAGCAACTACCTAGGTGAGACCGTAACTCACATGAAAAATTAATCTTTTACTTTTCAGATAACCTTTAGAAGTGTTGAGGTGGGTGAATCGGATACTTAGACTGGAAAATTGTAGCAAAGGTACTAAACCTTTTAGTAGCAGACTTGATCCAAACATTTAATTTATACCACTGTAGGTACCAAAACTTTAAAAAATTCGCATCTCAAGTCCAAAATGACACGTTCTATCAGTTTGACCCCAAAAATCGTCACCCAAAAATTAAAGTTTTAAGAATTTTCCCCAAACAAGAAATGGTTTTTTGAACATAATACATTTTCTCTATTCAAGAAAAAATAAATAAACTTTATATATGCAAAATCAAATGGAAAATAGGCAAAATAGGATTGATATATACTCAAATGCTTGTGGGCGAATTGCTATGAGTCTATTTGGAGAGAGATAAAAAGAGAGAATGAGGGAGAAACTACAAGAGAGAGAGAGAGAAGTAGATGGGGGGTGGGCGGTTTGGGAAAGAAGGAGATTGGGGGTTTTGTTTTTGTTTTTTATTTTTAATTTAATAGGAAAAAAGTATTATGTCCAAAATATCCTTATCTTATTTGAAAAAAATTATTAAAATTTTAATTTATGGGTCGACTAACAGTTTATGAGGCCAAACTGACAAACCCCGTCATTTTGGACTTAAACTGCAATTTTTTTAAAGTTTTGGTACCAACGATGACACAAATAAAAAGTTTAGATCAAGTCTACTGCTAAGCCCATGTTTAAGCCACATTAAATTTTTTATTCTCATTTTTTTACTCATTTTCAACCACACATTCTTCAATAAAATAATATTTTTCATCACATCAATAATTTTTCCTTCTTTTTCAACCAAACATTCTCCTTAAATCTATTATTCCAAAATATATTCTTCCAAAATAATGT